ACTGATGCCTGGACTGGAGTCAGGAGTTTGCAAAGTTCTTGGAGGCATCTGTGAGGATAGGTGCAGGCAGATGCAAACACCTATTCCCTTACTCCTGGCTGGCCAGATGTAAGTGCTATCTCAGTATATGACTGCCGAAGCTTTCAACAGAGGTTTTCAAGTGGTTATGGAGGCCATCAGGAGGTTGCCAAAGCAAAGTTTTGTAGGAGAGCTAAGCAGTGATCTGTGAGCCGAAGAATTGTGGCTGAATTTAATTTTGAGCCAGTGCTGCCCTCTGCTGAAAAGAATGCTCTTCTGGGTAAATTGAATACAAATGCTTTTTGTTACTTGAAATTAAGCAAGCAACTGATTCAAACTCTTCTGCAAAAAGATAACATGTGTACTGTTTAGAGGATTTAGTTGAAATCTGCGCTTTCTCTAAATAATATCAACTTTCCTGTTTGTCAAACCCAGACCATGCATAGTTGGGTGGGTGAGGATTTGCCAGCTAGGACAACTACAGCTTCCTCAGGGCCCGGTGAAGGAAACTTGGAAGAGAAGTGTAAACAGGTAGACTAAAAGCTGTATGCACTAATCACACTAATCGTGTTTGCAGTCTCGACTCAACTGTCTAGCTGTATAAAGAGACCATGTCTGGGAGCCTGAAAAAAGCGTGTCTGTCTGTGAAGTAATTTTTGGCCTTGGTGTGCTTTTCTGTTAACTCTCGTTGTAGTCCCTCGTAAGCAATTGAGGGTATGAGGTCCTCTCCTTTTATGGGGCTGTCAGTGTTGTGAGGACATCGCCAGCAGAAGTTTGAGTAACTTGAAAACTGCTTTCACATAGCTCAAGCAACTAGCTGCTTATTCTGCTTGGTCTGTTGGACCAGTGACAGCAGCAATGATAAGGCACTTGTATTGAGCTTAGGTCACTGCTCACGTTTCCTTTCTAAAATCAGTGGATTTTTCCAGTTAGCCTTGATCTTTTTGCTAATGAGCCCAAACCATTTCGAAGAGACTTTATTATAATTCAGCCAAGTTGCAGACTTACAGATTTTGGTAAATCTGGCCAACACCCACTGTCTAGGTGAAAACAAAAACCAAAAGTTGTGAAAGCACTGGTGTCCCTTTAGCAGCTGATACTGTTGGACAGCATGAATTGCATTGACCCAAGTGTGAAACTCTGGGAGCTGCTACCAGCTTGTGGAACCTGATCCCTCACCGCATTGTTATAAGGAAAATAGTGAAGTTAAATAAGTGATCCTTTGCAAACGATTCAAGAACCTGAAGTGGAGCCAGACCCCCTCGCTAGCATAGTCAGGCTCTGAAGTCACTGGAGTTTCTCCAGCTCAAGCCAGAAGAGAACTGCTTCATTAGATTAGATAATCTGTAAAGTCTATGTTGTATGTCACTGAAAGGAGATGGATTAGTGTTCCACACTAATGGTACAGGGACACAAAGGCAAGGGAAAATTCAGATATTACTCTTTCTTCAGACTGTATATCATCAAGCACGAGTGTTGCATGGAGAATGTTTGTACATTGTGTACAGAAATAAGTATTTTGTTGCTTGTTTTAAATTCGTCTACTCATTGAGTAATCTAATGAAACAGGGACCAAGATTTTCAGAAATGACCAGTGATTCTGAGATTATGAAAACGTCCTCTGGTTTGTCACAAGCTGAAAATCCACAGATTTAAAATTCTTAGAAACATTATCTGTAAAAGGTGTCTTCTGACTAGATAAATGTATGCTAGATCAATTAAACTTTAAGGACTATCAAGTGTGTCCAGATATAACTTTTAAGACAGGTGTAGAATTGGTGCTCCTGATGCACTTCATTACTGAAATAAAATTAACTGTATTAGAACTGGGAAGTATTGCGAGAGTGAAACTCGGAGCATGTTATAAATGTGATTTCAAGCTAGTATGGACCTTCCAGCTTTTGAGGTTAATGGTAACAGTGTTCTTGATTTTTATGGTAGCAGGGACCAAGACTCTTGTATGTTAATCTTAAGTAGGGAATCATGTCTGAAGTTCAAAATCATGGGTTTTGCCCGAAGTAAACCTAGAAGTACAGTTGGATGGCTGAGGACTATTTAAAAGGAACACAGACAGTGTTAACTCATGTAACTTCAGTGCAGTAGTACTTGGCTTTATTTCAAAAAGCATAGACTATAAGTCTGCTTCCTTTCAGGCCACATAAGGTTGTAAGCATTGTGACTGACTGTTCAGCACCTCATGCAAAACCCAGTGACCTATTTGCAAGCAACAGCAAAGCCACTGAAGAGCCCTGGGTATACAGAATACTGGCAAACACTCCTAAAGACAAGCTGTATTTTGTGCAAAGAGGGAGAGTGGACACAGTCCTGTTTTCATTAAAGCCAAAACAAAAAAGTAGGACAAAATTGAAGTGACTTCTGAGAGCTGAAACTTCGCTCAGCTAACTCCTGTAGCACATCATCTGTGCTGTTATTGTTTGTGGGTTAGGGTTAAACCGTACCAGTTAGATAACTCTGTGCTTCAAAGTGAAGCCACAGGGTTGTAAAGTCCCCAGTGAAGCTTTGGTGAAGATTTCGCTCAGATCTGAGATGCAGCTTGGACCTCTGTGGCACACAAGAAAGGTGCTTCCAGAATGTCACATCATAGAGTGCGTGTGTTCTTGTGCCTGTTTTGCTCTATTTACTTAGGAGGTCTCCAAGGATGACCTTATTTCTAACCCATCAATGGGAGATAATAGGACAACGGTATCTGAAATTCTTTCCCACCTTACTGTACCTTGGGCAGCTCCTGACTTACCAGTTGGTATCTCCAGATATTCTAGTCTCTGGGCAATCTCTTAACCTGAAAACCTTGTTGGTCAGTTTTCCTGGTTCTTTTAATCTCAATGAATATGAGATCTGCTTGTTCTGACACAGGAGATCTGCATGTCCACTTCCTAACCATCCAGGATATGCATGCCATTCACAAATGGGAATGTACTTTGGCATGCCTCGTCACTTTGCATTCAGTTCAACCTGCCGGTTGTTGAGATCTCTTGTTTGCAGTAATATTTTTATTACAGAAAATACTATGCTGGTGAAAACTTAAAAGTTCTTGGATCAAAATGGACAGAAATACACATCCTTGTTGGATACCAGGCAGGCTTCATGGCAGAGTTGCCCAAAACTTCAGGTCAGAGGAGGGTAGAGTATGGAGTTAAGAAAGCCATGGGGAAAAGTATCTCCCCACTTCTTTCACCCTTCGATGTTTCATGTGAAGTGAATAATGGCATACTGTGTTTCTGTTCGAGTCAGTGAGAGTTTTGGCAGGAGGCAGCATGATCCATCTGGAATGGAGTCTGAAGACCTGTTGTTTGCTGCAGTCCTTGAAAGCCCGTTGAGCGTTGTGTGCCTCAGTTTCTTTGTTGGCCATATGAAAAGGATGTTACCAAACTTTCATGGATGAAAAATGTTTTTATATACAAAGCTGTGTTACTGCAAATTGGGGCTGATAGCAGAAGGAACAGTATAGTTTGAATTGCAGTTTGCACACTGAAACAATGAGGTACTTTGATTTCCCTTCACTATGAAAGGGCTTTTGTGTACCCAAGTTCATCATCTGCTGAAGGATTCCACTTCACAGGGAACTGCAGATACACTTAATTATTGCAACTTTAAAAATACATTACTTACTAAAAGCTCCTTCTTTGAATTGATGAGAACAATGAACGTACAGTTACCATCACAGCAATGAATTATCTTTTTACCCTCTTTAAAGTTCTTTTTCATTTTTAGGAAGTTTTAGAAAGTTCCTGAAAGGGTCAGACACGAGTGTCTGCTCTTCCCAAGCCTGTATGTATGCTGTTGCAAAGTGAGAGCATGTGTAGCTTTGCTTCTTGCTTTGTAAGCCGAAGCCACTGCTTTGCATCCAGATACATATTCTGGAGATTGATGTGTCAGTGGCTACACCCCTGTTGGAGAAGGTGGTGATGCAGACCATCAGAGGTCCTTCATCATTTCTTCATTTTTCTTGTTCTTTCAATCAGTTTTTATATTTTTGTTGATTTTCAATGCAAAGACAGGGGCTGGGGGAGTGGGAAGTAGAATTGGTGCAATCCACATAGGTTGTTTGCTGCTGGGGAAGTCTAGTTAGGAACATGTGATGTTAATTACTCTTGCAGTTCTGCACTCTGTGATTTATTCTGCTTCCATTCCCATTTGATTCTTTTGTCTTAATTCAGGGTACGCAGAGCTGTATGTTTGCTAATGGAGTTAGTGGAGATCCTGTTCTGGCAGCTATTCTTCCAGGCTCACGCACTTGCCCTGTCCAGCCCTGTCCAGTGAAAATGCTAAAATTCTCAATTGTTTCAGTGGTACCCTGGTTTCACTTACTAAATTTAGGTTATCTGGAGGGCTTTAGCCTGTCTGTGAAAGAGAGAGATGTGGTTCTTACCATCCCAGTAGATCTTCCACTTGAGATGGAGTCTTCTGTTTCTGAAACAGGCTCAAGGGTGAGACTTGCAAGGAGAGGTGGGAAAACAGAAGCAGGGATTGTCTGTCTGATGAAACAAACTTGTCAGATCCTTAGGAAAAGGAGAGGTTGGGAGGAAAGAGAACTAGTCCCATTCACACTTAAGTTAGAAGGCATGGGAATAACAAATTGCAGTCCTAGATTCTTCATACTTTTCTGAACCTCTGATTCTGTTTGTTTCCTATAAACTTTTGCATTAACTTGTTCAATTGAAATATGTACTGGGCAAGACTGGTAAGATTTTTCTCACTAGTTGTGAATAGCTGTACGCTTTGCATCCGAGAAGTTAATGATGTAAATGCAAAAGTATATTGTAAGCTCTAAGAACTAAAACGTTAACTATGGAAGTTAGCAATTCCTTATGACACATCACAGGCAACATGTCAAAAATTTGCTTAGTATGGGAGTTGTCTTTTTGAAACACACATAGTTTACTGTAAGAATCGTTACCAACAGAGTGCATGCTCTTTTTTCAAAGAATAAAAACTGATGGTCTTCTCTTTCTTCTTTTCAGGCAGCACAGATAGTCCTGATTTCTCTCTTTGAATTGAACACTCCTGAGTTTACAATGTTACTTGGTGCCTTGCCAAAAACATTCCAGGATGGTGCTACCAAGCTCCTGCACAACCACCTCAAGAACTCCAGTAACACCAGTGTGGTGAGAGGCCCTTGCCCTTGCAAACAGTGGAGACCCAAAGACAGCAGCTCATTGATGAGCTCTTGCAGATGTTCAGTAGCATGAATTACCTGTAACTGTTGTCTTGAAGCAATATGACAACAGAGGCTTCTGTTTGATGTTGCTTTTATAGGGACCATTAAACCAAAAAAGTCAGTTATTTTTAGATTTCATATGGTCATAACCAGTACAGATTAAAAAAATAAATTACTGAGAAATGCATGGAAGTTGGTTGGGTTTATGCTTTTGAAAATCCTGCCAGTAATGACCTTTTGGCTAAAACAGAGACCTGATACCACAGATTTTCTAGGCTTACTACTACTATTGAAATCAGTTTAATAACATGTATTGTCTCAGAAGATTGCAGGATTTTTGATGTGACCTACAAGGTCTCCTCCTCTAGTCCTCTTACTTTATGTTTTGGTTTTATGTGAAGCTCTTCTGTGTTTTTATTTCTCTAAAGAAATATGTTAGTCGAGAATTTAAGTGCGCTTCTAAGCTTCTCCCTGCACCCCCAGCAGTAAGGATTAGGGTATTTGCTGCCTCTACGTGGAAATCTTGTGAAACTTGCTGGAATTTGAACCGTCCTATCTTTGCACTTCCACAGGCGAAAGTAGACCTTTGTGTAAGCTATAACTGCAGCTTTAGGCTTCCAGGCAAATGGACTGGATTCTCTAGTACCTTCGACTTTGTGTGAAGAGAGTGAGAATTGCGAGCAATTCCTACTCATTTTGCTGTGGTATAAATGGTTGTGCAGGCCAGTGGAAAAATGACAAGTTAGATTGCTTACTTATGTTCCTAACAAGCACAATCAGAATGCTTTAGACAATGTGAAAAATAGCTGCATAATTGCATTGCTAAATTGCCAGGGCATACTTTAGAGCCTGGCAAATCATGTCTGAGAAGCTGGGCAGCCTGGTGGATTGATAAACCGTTTCTCTGGCAATATTTGCTGTGTGTTGTGTAGTTAAAATGGCAAGTACTATGGACTGTAGAAAAGTGCAGATGTGCTTTGTTTATCCTCAGAGCAGTACCTTCAAGAATATATTAATGACTACATGAACCATGGCTGCAGTTTTTTAGGTCAAGAGCCAGAACCAAAACTGCACTAAGCTTGTCTAGCGCAAACAAAGGCAGTATTTGGACCTGTTATTGTTGTGTACTCCTGCCTGTGCATTGCAACATGTTGCTAATCCCTGTCTTCCTGCTTCTGTGCCAGGGTTCCCCCAGCAATACCCTTGGTCGGACTCCTTCCCGGCACTCCAGCAGCAGAACCAGCCCCTTAACTTCACCTACCAACTGTTCCCATGGCGGACTGTCTCCAAGGTAATGCGGCAGGCTAATTAAACCACTTGCAAAGTATTAAAGGGTTTCAACACTACATGTGCATTTGCAGAATATGACTCACTTTGAAAGCAAAAACAAGTCCAAAAGTTTACAGGAGATTGCTCCAAAGAAACAAGGTTTGAACATGATAATACATGGTTGGTGATTGACTTCAGTGTTCCAGTCCTTATGTTATCTGTGTAATCTTAATGTCCTTTCTTATAGTATTAATTTTCTTTCATAACTAGGCCTTCTCCAGACCCACATTTGTGGGTTCAATAAAGGTAACACTAAACGGCAGCATTAGAAATGAGGTCTTGTTGAGGTTGCAAATATCACAAACTATATGATGACTTTCAGGTCGAGGGTTTCAGATTGTGTCTGCTTTTTAAGGTGTGATCAGTAATTCATCTGACAGCAGCACAAGCACCATACTACAGACAGAGGTACTGAATCTCCTGCTCTCCTCTTATGCTTTGTGAGGATGCAGAAGAAGCAGAGGTGGTGACTGTGTTTCAATGCTCAAATCACTCTCCTGCCTGCACACCAGCAGAATAGTGGCCTGATCCTTTAGGCAGCAGGTTTATTGCAACCAGGTGTTTTGCTGAAGCTGTAGATGCTACCCTGGAATATTTTGGTCCACTCCAAAACCTTTTATTGAATAAACATGGACTCTTGGATATTGGGAATGTGCATGTTTCGCATCATAAAAACTTAGAGCAGAAGAGTTAGGAATTTAAACAGTATGCTCTGGGACCATAGAAATATCGGAGGAAAGTGTTAGATTGTTACCTCGACAAGTTTTGATTCATGCTGCGAAAGCTTAAAAGCTGCTGCTCTTGTATGTCTGCCCACTCCATGGGAGGTTACTTCCCTTTGTCATGGAAGAGACAGAAGGAAACATGTTGGGTGAGGACTGCAGTTCTTAGTCCAGTGTAGTAATTTACACTGAAATCTGTTGATCAGCCCTGTTGTGACTTGCTAAACCCTGTCTGGAGGGATGCTTAGACATGCGAGTTCCCATGTGACAGGGAAAACACTGGCTTTTAGGCTTTAGTGAGTAGTTATACTAATTCCAGCAGCATATGAGGAGCACATGGGGTTTCCTGAGAAATATTTAGATATGTAAATACATCTTTGTGACCCCTAAATCTCCTGTAATCCAAAACTAGACTGAGAGGGGTTGCAAGCCAAGGTCGAGCTGCCTATTATGAGGGTTTTTTTAACAAAGGTTTCATTAAAAAATTAAGTGGTAGACTTTCAGGGGAATGGTTCCAACTATGTTGCTTCCTTTTTGACTAGTTTGAGCATTGTTGCCCTGCTGATTTCTGACATGGGAAATTATAAACTGAGATATATCTCACTGTGGTTATGTTGTGGCTTTGCCGGCCATGTTTGAACATGTCACTTATTTTATGAATCCATGATCTTTTACCATGCTTTTTGGGTTTTGCCGCTTCACTCGCTGCTTTACAATTTGTCTTTGCATTCTTCTCACCTCTTGATGTCAGGATGCACTTATCCAAATATTGATTAAAGCATTCAGCGTACACTTAATACTTTGTTGTTGCTGTTGTTTTCTAGCATTTTGGGTTTAGGAACTGGAGTTTTTTTCCCATGTGATACGTTCTCAAGGAATAGAGAGGTCATGCAATTCCAGAGTATTCTGCCATTAAGTTGTCAGTACTAAAACTGCTACTCATGCTGTGGACCGGGAATTTCCTTTAGAAAACAATCATACCTTCAATTTTCTATGGAGTTCTTGGAGATGTTGATGCAAAAATTTCAAGAAGGTTGTCCTGCTTCCTTGCTGGATTTAGTTATTCGGGAGTGATGTGTAGAAGTTACTTTTCAATGACAGGTGAAGGTGGAAGCTGCTGTAAAACCCCTTTAAAGTATTCAGGGGAGAAGTTCTACTGTTTGGTTTTGGTGAGTGACCTCTGAGCGGTAACAATAGCTGCAGATTTTTGCCAGAGAAAGGCAGTGGCAAGTACTCCAAATTAGCGGCAGTAGCTTCTGATGCTCTGCTGGACTGCATCCTTCTTGAAAATGTCTTGTGTAGCACAGTTTGAGTACGGTCCTGACTTAAAAGAACAAGGGAGAATTTAGGTCTGCTTCTGAAGAGTACCTGTGGTCGTCCATCTTTCAGAAAAAAGGCTTTGGAAGATGTGCTAATGGATTTCAGGAAGCGGGGTACTCTGCAGTATTGCAGTTGTTGGTATAGATGCTTCTGTGTCATGTTTCCATTACAAATGCTTGTCGTTTGCTATTCATCAGTGGTGTAAAATGTCACTTTTCTCTCTGCAAACTTGGAAGATGAGTGCACCCGAGCCATTCTGATAGCAATGTAAAAGGATAAGGCTTCCCACAGTTTCTTTGTGTAGCTCTCCTCTGAAGCTAGGCTTGGCTTTACATTTTTATGGGACCCATTGCCAAAGGGTCGTACTGAGATTGTGTATGCTCCTTGCTTCCTGGGGTGCTCCATGTGCGGGCCCTGCTTACCTTGTCCGTGCCTCTTGTCTTGTACAGCCAGCCTGAGTGCAGTTATTTGGAGGATTATCTCCTGTTCTTAATGCCAGCTTTGGTTTTGAAGACTATACTTTTCTTTGAATTTTTTCTTGATGCACAGATTGGAGGAGTCATTTCTAGAGATGTATGTGTCTTTGGGGCTGGGATATGTGTAGAAAGGATAGTTTGGGTCCTATAGGAAAAGAAAAATGCTGCTAAGCATAGCTGCTCTCCCGTATTACTAATGCTTTGTGAATAATGTCCTCAATATTAATCATCAAGGCTTCATTGATACGGACATTCTGTGGTTTGTATGTATGCCATTGCCCTTAGGTCACATTACTTTTCCCATATTGTTGCCATCACAACTGAATTCCAGATGACTGATTTTTTTTTTTAAAAATTTTTTTTTTTTTTTATTGTGCATCTGTATTTGTGTGTACATATATTTGAGCTCTCTGGATAGATTTTTGAATGTTTTGGTTGAACTGGACTTTGCTGATGCAAACAGCTGATTTGCCGATCCAGTTGATAACATCTGCTTAAGTATCCCCTGATGTTAGTGTCTTCAGAAGGGTAACGTGCTTTCAGGGCCTCGGGCAGAGTCCTTCCTCCTCCTGCGTTCATTTGCTCCATCCAGTTCTGCTTCATGATCAGTGAAACATATCCACTGCATCTGTGACTTACTTCTGCATTTGTACCTGCTTTTTTGTCTTGACAGTTTTAGTTTTTTGGGGACAGGAGTTACAGAGGAAACAGGTGTCTTCTGAAGAAGAAAAGCAGGGGAGGGCCTTTGGGAAGGCTGAAAGTAATAGGGGAAAAAACCAGACTTCTGACTGAAAGGAAGGAATGTTTTCTGGGCAATGCTCAGATTAATGGCTTGAGTTGGTGTTGGACAGAGAAAATCTTGTGAGATATAGTAGATGATGTAGTATGACAAAAAAGAAAATGCTAAATTGTGAAGTCTTCCAGTGTAAGAGTACCATTCTGAATGACAAATGAAATTCTGTAGACTCAAATGTTACATTCAGGTTGTGAATTTTCACCTAGAATTCTGTAGGAATATTTAAAGGAATATCAAATCAATAGGTTGGCCCTACAATTTCTGCCTTTATTAGTAGCCCAGAAACCTGTATGCGTAGTTCCAATTACAAGGAAAAAACCAAACCAAAACAAAAATAGTTTAGCCCTTCAAAGATCTCTAGAGGAAATACATCAAAATAAAAGGCTAACAATTTTATTTGGCTATGAAAGTTTACATGCTTGTTTTTTCACTGACAATAGAAAACACCATTAAAAATAAAAATTTGACAGTTTCAGTATTAAGTTGAGCAAGGCAAGGCATGGAAAAATAATTAAAATAAGCCACCCACCTTGTACAGTAAGGACAAGCCTGCGTTGTTTGGTGGCCCGTTTGCAGGTAGGTGAGACCTGAGCTGTGAGACCTCTGGGTGTCTGGTGTACTTCTGTAATAGTTGCATGTAATAGCTATGTGTATTGATTGCTGGTTAACGAGTTAATTTCTTGACACCACACTTCAGAGGAGTTTTCAACAGGCTTTGCTGCTGTTTGCACTGGAGCAGTTCTCAACTTGTTTGCTTCTGATCTTGCGCTATCTTTCACTTGCGTATATACAAATGTGACTTTCCGAGACAGTGTGCTTAAACTTAATAGAAACAAAGTGGTGTCCTGAATACTCCACCAGCTCAAGCATCTATATTCTCACTTAGAAAATGATTTTGAAAATACATATACCATAAAGGGAACAGGACAAAAGCAAAGGTTAGACAGGTTGGTGCAGGGATGAATGCCTTGACCCAAAGGCACAGGATCAAACAGTAACTGGAAGGGACTTGTGGAAGTTTGTGAGAGATTGTAATCAACTTAGAGGCTGGTTTTTCCAGGTTTGTCTGCTGCGATGTGGGCCAAGTCCCAAATTTACATGATACGTTTACAGTGTAGGCTCACTTTCACTTGCTGCCTATTTGGGATCAGTTTGAACCTGGTGAAATAGGATCAGATCTTAAGCCCCGCAAAAGTTTGCTGATTGTGTAGGGCCTGACTGCAAGCTCTTACAGAGGCACCAAACTTTACAAGCTGCCTTTGGGGGTATGATAAAAAAAATCAACTCCGATTTTTCTTTCTTCCAGAGAAATCCTGTTGCTCACAAATAGCTGCTTAGAGTTTGAATACAAATGCATGGTCAGGGATTGTTTACTTAGAGCATTTTAAGAGTTGTTTATAGAGGCTATATCCATTTGTAAAATTTACTGGTTAGTACAAGCAGGGACTGTTTTTGTGCGAATCTTATCATTATGTTAGGAATAAAAGTGGAAATTAATAACAAAGGCCAAAACAATGACTTGCAAGGCTTAATGGAGTATTCTTGTTTAATTTTGTTTCTATTAATTTTTTTCTCTCTCTCCAAGGCAGCATGACAGCACTAAGCCACTCAGATTATAGTTTGTTTTGTTTTGTTTTTTTTCCTCCCTCTCCTTTCTCTGTTTTTTCTCTTTTGTTCCTCCTCTGATCACGGCAGTCGGTTCTGGGGTTGGAGTGCAGATGGGCTGTCGAAGCACCCCCCTCCCCTTTCTCAGCCTAACTCCATCCCCACTGCTCCTTCCCACAAGACTTTCAGACGCTCTTACTCTCCCAGGTAACAAGCTACCTGTTAAACCAACTTGTCTGAGGTGTCACAGTATTATTTACCTTTCACACAGTGGGATTTGTTCAAATGTGGGAAATGATTTGCCGAGGCTTTGGCTGGAAAAGGAAAAAAGATGATGATGGCTTTCAGAGAGCAGAGGTGACATGCAGCTGCTTGCTTGCTGCTTGGGGAAGATGTGGCATGCAAGAGGAAAAAAAAAAAAAGTGGATTTTCCCAGAATCTTCCTCCCTGCCAGGTTCCTGAATGGGTGTATTTTTCACAGTTGGTTTCCAACGCAGAACACAGTTGCTGAGCACTTTTGGCAGGCATTGGTTGCGTTATGATAGCATGGGCAAGGTCTTTCAACTTGGCTACACTGTGCAAGTGGCACACAAGTACTTTCAAACAGGCAAAAATATACCTCAGTAGTGATTTCACATCCATAGTAGTGAATATCCGCAGGATGATGAGGATGAAGCTTGCATGTAAGATTTTACCAGCAGCTTGCACAGTGTGATTGTGGAACATCTTGGAAATTTGTAGTTCTGAAATTAAAATTGTCCTTACCACAAGATTTAGAGGTTATTGTTAGCTAATTTTGACATCTCTTCTTCCTCCTGTGCCTTCACATTTTGTACCAATCTGCATACAGATCTTTAATCAGTATACTGGACTAAACCTAGTTTTAATAAAAAAAAAACCGCACTTCTGAATACAAATTTAATTTGTCTGACATATGTTAAATTCCTTGGATTTTTTTAAGTTTATACCCTGACAACAGGCTTTCTGTAGATGCAGTTTTTCCTAACTTAAATTATACCTGTTACCTGAGGCAGGACTATATTTAGTCTTTCGTTGAAGTAAGAAGTTCCTAATGAAAAACTATTGAAAGGAAAACAAACAAATTGTTCTTTGGGGGCTCAAAATCTGGGAATCTGTGATGTCTGAGAGAGAAAATAGAATCCCTTAATCAGTACTTCTGTGAATACCTGCCGAATCAATGTTCTGACTCTTCTAGGACCCTAAGATATCTGTGGAAGAGATCTATGTTGATTTTTAGAGTTTCAGTTCCTTCTCTCATTAGCCGACACCAAGGTTTGGATTAATTTGATATATATTCCAGCCCAGAGCCTGAAAGTGCAAGGAGGTGGGTTACTGTGTACTGCCTGAGGATGCTAAACTGTTGATTACTTACATGTAGTTTGGATTGGAAATGGAATAATAGTTTATGGAAGTAAAATGTATCTCATGTCAGACTGGAAAACTGCCAAATTGTCTTGATAAACTTCTAAAGAGCTGCATTGTTTTAGTGCAGCAGAAGATGGAAAATAATGTTGTGACATCCCTAAACGCTGCTCATCTCTACTCACCCCTTATTCATCCTGTGACTTTCCTCTAGTTTTCTGCATGGGTCATAACTTTTTTTTGCTTTTGTGCCTTCCCCCCTCCCCCCCCCCGAAAGGTGGGTGTAGTTCCATTTTATTTTTTATTCCCCCATTGTGTTGTCTGTGACATATTCCAGTGCGCATACTGTCAGTAGACACATGTGTACATGTGTGTTCACATGTAGAGTTTTCATTCATGTAGAACACAGCCATAACGTGATCTCCTACACAGGCTTACTCTTGACATATGAAATCATTGGATTCTTTAGTTTGTTTTTTTTTATTAAAATGTGGGTTTGTGCTTTGAAAAATGCATCAGATCGGTGGCTCTTTGTTGAGAAATTGCCTTAGTCCTTTAGAATTGCAGAGTCTGTACTTTGATCTATTCTTTGCTAGCAGTGTAGGGCAAAATTCATCCCTGAGGAAAGAAGCAGTAAGTTTAGCAGAAGATTTAGTGTCAGTATATCTGTGATTATTTCTCGTGGTTTTTTTTTCCATGGATTTCATTGTGTGACCTTTGATAAGTCATGTCATCTGTTGATGTGGGTACGCAGGTACAGTCACATGTATACCTTCTCAAATGGCGGTTTCATTGCTCACTTAAATGTTCTATGAAGGTACCCCTTAAGATCTATTAAATAAATATACTTGAGCTTAAAATGAGTATTTTTGAGATCATATGAAACAAAGGTTTTTCTATCCCTGCCTGCTACTTAGGAATAATCTAAAAACTGCCTTCAGTTTTGTCTGGAAAGGTGTCACAGTGCATTAGCGTCATTCAGCTGCCTGAAAAGCCCTAAATGCTTTGACTTCTGTAGGCTTATAAACAGCTTTTGTTTCCTGATCTTGGTCTGTTCTTCAGGTGATTTCTCTTTCTTCCTGGCCTGACAGACGCTGTTTAAAGTTGGGGAGTTGTTCTTTGGTTTGTTTTGCCAGAATACATGGTGCTGATGCTTGTGAGTGTAGTGTGAGTGCGTTGCTTGGGAGCCAGGGATTGTGGCTATTTTCGGTGTGTTAATCCCAAAGGAATCAAGCAGCACCAATCTTATCCTCTGTCTCCAAGTTCCTGAGTTTCTTCCAGAAAAAAAGCAGTGGTTCTAGATATTTAGCATCCTACTTTTAGTTCTATTGAAAATAATAGCTGTATAGCCAAGATTCAGAAGGGATTTTCTGTTTTCTTTTTTTCCCCACCCACCTCACAGGGAATCTTTCTTTCATGGAAAAGGAACACAGCTCTTTGTTCAGCCGTCCTTGTCCAAGCCCATCCTCTCATCCTTCCCAAACTGTTAAGAAATAATAATTCACCCCTGTAGGGAGCCACTTCTTGACGTTTATTGACAAACAACTTGATGTAAATGTCTCAAATTCTTTGGTTTATTTGCTTCTGGCTCTACTAAGATCTGAGACTCCCCTGGAGAAATTGTTCTCAGTTACTGGGTCTCTTCATTAAATCTCTCTTGGTAAACTGATTGTTGTGCAAACTCAACTTCTCCTCCTAGATAGAGCAAAGCCCTGCCAATAATGCCTTTTCATTTTCTCCAAGCTTGTAGGAGCTTCTTGTCTTAGCCACATCTTTTCAGATCATCTGCCCTTGCATGCCAGGCATTCTTTCATGGAACTTAATTCTGGATAACTCCTCAAGGAATCCCAAAACTTGTGTGGCTTTATGCTGCTGAGGAATGTCTGAGGAACAGACAGACTGCAAGAAAGTATCAGATTTGAATGAGAGAATTACCAAATTTAGGCTCAATACTGAAATGCATCTTTTATCAAGGCATTGTGCAAGTGGTTTTTGTTTTACTACTCTGTAAATGAAAATGGGACATGTTAGACTAAGGTTTATGTCAAGATACATTTTCCTTTCCATTTAAATCCATCACATTTTAATCCATTGTTAGAATATATTCCATATATTATGAAACTTAAATTTCATTGATTTCATTTCCACCGGCTGTCACAACCTTTTGAGTTCTCATAGTGATTTCTTTTCTTTATTTTCCTTTCTAAATAACACCATTACTATGCCGGGGATAGGTTTTTTGGGTTTATGAAAGCTAGCATACTCACTGCTGTGGAATGTAACAGCCAGTGGAACTGATTTCCCCTTGCTTACATCAACGTAATGCCACTGATTTCGGTGGAGCTTCTCCTGGATGTAGCCCCATTTGAGGGGAGACTCAGACCCGAAGTCTCCTTTGATTCCATCCGTGTTTTGTTACAAGTCACTCTTAGAAAGGGTACGCCAAATCACCTGTCTCCGACTTGGCATTGTTTTTGTTAACAGTCAAAAGTGGATTCCAATTTCATTTGTAACATTTCACATACGTTTGGTCTTTAGTATGCTGGATTATGACACGGAGAACCTAAATTCTGATGAAATCTACAGCTCTCTTCGTGGAGTCACAGAAGCAATTGAAAAATTTAGTTTCCGTAGTCAAGAGGACCTGAATGAGCCAATCAAACGTGATGGAAAGAAAGACTGTGACATTGTAAGTATTGAATTGATTAATGTCCCCAGATAAGTGAAATTTAAAAAAATTGTGTTTGAATCTGGCTTTGGATTGTAAGTGTACAAAACCCATCCTGCTGTATTTTGCAAGTGTTTTCAGCTTACTGGTTGATGACTTCTTACACCTAAATTATGGAGTCCCACTAATGAAGTCCCTTGCCCCCTTTGAACTCTAGCCTCCTGTGAAATGTGTTCACTGGGCTTTTGTGGTAGTCTTATGTGTGAAGCAAACAGTGCTAGTGTTCTTCAGGCTCAGCATGGCTCAGTGATGGCTTTTTCATGGAGCGTGTGTAGTCAGGTCTGCAATGGGAAATGTTGGTTCTTGGTGTATGGGTGGTTTCGCTGACAGGCTTATTACTTCCCATATAGGAAGGGCCTATAATCACTCTGAGTGCAGAACTCGTATGGTACCTTACACTGCATGAATGGTTACAGAATTATCTACCATGGGAGATGCCATTTGTTTTAATATATGGACTTCTGAATTTATGGTAATCTTAAATGATGATCCTTATGGGTCCCTTCCAACTTGAGACATGCTATGATTCTATGACTAGGAAGTTTTGCTTCCTATTTGGACAAACAAGTTATGTTAGTAGATTAAGTTAACTTCAAAGCTAAAAATTCTTGGTCCAAGAATTTCATGTTAGCTTGCTAAGCATCATCCAGTCTCCTCTGTTAGTGGGTTGTGAAGTTTCATGAGGGGGATGTTGCTTTTGCTTCCTTTCCCTTTCTTAGCAAATTTGTCCTGTTCTAGAGCGTATGATCTTTGCTAGCTTATGCAATTTTAGTAATATTAACTGAGGTTTAGGAATGCTAACATAGCTCTTTTGCCCTATCATCGTTTTGGAGCCATTGTAGTTATATAAGGGTTTGGAAAGAGGTGGTAATCTAAGTTTTACTCAAGTACTGTATACATGTAAATGATTCTATGCCTCTTCGTGTTGGTGGATGAACTCCATAAAAAAGCTACAGCTTCCATAGAATTTGAGTAGTCTCATGTCTTTTCTCTCTGTTTTATCCCCCAGGTGTCTCGAGATGGTGGCCTCGCTGTGCCTTCCAGTGATGTCCGTGGAAGCAGTGACATTGTGGAAGGCGGAAGGATGGCTCTAGATAACAAAACCTCCTTACTTAACACCCAGCCTCCCCGCGCCTTTTCAGGGCCGCGTGCTCGAGAATATAACCCCTATCCTTATGCTGACACAATTAACACTTATGACAAGACTGCCCTGAAGGAAGCAGTGTTCGATGATGACATGGATCAGCTTCGGGATGGTTTGTATCAGTGTATCTCATAAAACTGCAGGCAGCTTGCTCTGTTTCTAGTATATTTGTGTATGGGTGCTGTTCTCAGATACACACGTGCCCATGCATATGTTGTGTTTTACTTTGCATCTGAATCGAGGCTTGATATGAGATACTCTTTGTTCTCACGTGCTAGCAGAACCTGATCTGTGGCTATTGAGACAACATTACACTGCAGCTTTAATTTTTGTTTGCCTAGAGTTTCCCTCAAACTAGTCCCTTAAGCATCTAAATGCATATGTAGGGACAATATTTTGGGGACCTTCCACTCTCTGTGACTGTAACACCTCATTCAATAGTTCATTGTTACTGAGCATTTCACTTCATTTAAGCAATCCCACGCCTTAGCTTTATTCTTTTGCAGTAGGGCGATGAGTCACTGTACTTTGATCTAAAGGTCATACATGTGATCACTGGTTTTGGGTGTGTGTGTCTGGGACAAACTGTGGCAGTTCTCACCTCGTAGAAATAATTATTGGAACTGGATGAAATTCAGTCATCATCTCTTCCTCGTTCGTTAGAAGCTATGTGCAGATTCATGCACTCTGTTATGAACTCAGGTGAAATCGTAGGCCAGTCGGATTCTCTTGCCTGCTTGACTGAGGCCGCCTGGGGTTTGATGCATTTTGGCAGGGCCTCTTGTTACATGCTCTTTGTTCTGTAGAGGGTTAGTAATCTTGGCAACTTTGATCTTTTTCCCCATTTCCCCAAATGATTTGCTGCCATTTGTCCTAGAAGTACCCATCGACCATTCAGATTTGGTGGCTGATCTCCTGAAAGAGCTCTCCAACCACAACGAACGAGTGGAGGAGCGGAAGGGAGCTCTCCTGGAACTGCTAAAGATCACAAGGGAAGATAATCTTGGAGTTTGGGAGGAACATTTCAAAACCATTCTGCTCTTGCTGCTGGAAACACTTGGAGACAAAGATGTGAGATGTAGATTTTTGTCTTAACTCTTGTTGCTTCTAGGGTGATAGTTTCTCCACACTAGTTTAAATAAAACCTGCTGCATTTGTACGGCATCTCATTAGTGATGCTACACTGCTTATTTTTTCTTTTGAAGGTTGACAACTCTGCTTTCGTTTTCAGTGTATCCGATGATGACCTTTAAGCTACTCTGAAGTGTCCCAGTTTTTCCCCTCTCTCCAGAGCGTTAGTAACAAACAACTAGGAAATTGAACTAGAATCATGAAAGTTATCTTCTAATCTAGTACAAAAACTATCAAGATTGCAAAAATTGTTCCCTTCCAACTTAGGATGAAGTTACAAGCTCTTAACTATATCATAACCATTGCCAAAGAAAGGAGAATAAAGGCACCCTAGAATAGATTAATATTTTTTTCTCTCTGTTGTTTAAAGATCCAGGCTATTAGATCTCACGGGTTGGGTCTCTGTTTCTCACAAAAATATCATCAGGAACAAACTGCTTATATAAGCATTCTTGTTTTGAAGAATTAAAAAAAGCTGCATTATTATCGCAGCTTTGTATTTGATAGTTGATCAAAGCAGTAATTTACAGGCTAGACTTCTTTTTCCACTTGGGGCTATTTGTTCAACTTGCAGTACAGTGATACTTGGTAAAGGCTCAGTGGAGCTGTACTCCATCTGAATGTTACAATATTTAGGCCTCAAAGCATTCACAGTTCTTTTTTTGGTTTATCTGATTCAAAATCCATTGTATTTCTTACAATTCTTGTAAAGTATATGGCATGCTCTCAGAAAATTTAATTCTGAAGCTGCGTAGATGGCTGACACTTTCTTAGTTGTTGTTCGTAGTGTAAGCATGAGCTGCTCTAGACCTACATGTTTAATCATAGCATCATCACACATGTATCAGAAGATACAGCAGCTTTAAGTACTTGTGAATTGTGCTGCTGCGTGAATTTTGCAGATGAATAGCAAAGGATGTGCTTTAAAGGCTGAGTATGCAGTAAAGTAAGTATTCCGCTGCTGAAATGATAGAATCTATTTGGAGTGGCCACAGGCCAAAAACTTAATATAACAGTTATGAAATTGAAGCAGGTGTTAAAAGTCCCTTCTGCTAATGATCTTTTGATACAAAGGATTAACACAGAGGTCAGCGTTGACTACAATGACTTAACTGTTCTTGAAAGTAATTTCCACAGGAGTTACAGGCAGAGAGCCGATTTTACTGCATTAGTACATGGGAAGCAGCTTTGTTGCATGGATGGAGCCCAGTCTGATATCCGCAAAGCTAAGCAAAGTAGGAAGGGCAAAACAACTATGATCTGAGCTGCTTTGTAGATTCGTGTAATGCAGATGTGCTGCGTTGGGTACAAATTTGTACTTCATTGCCAAAAAAGTATGGAATTTAATGAAGTAGAGTCATTCTCATTCTTTCTTGTGTCTGTGACAACAGTCATTTTATGTGAATTTTTGTGCAAAAGCAAGCAAGGAGACCAATTCTGATTTTCAGTTGTATTGACTACACTGCTTACTCCACTGGAGTTGGTGGAATGATGTAAGATTTCTGGTGGCATAGGGAGCCATGAGAATTTACTTCAAATTACAGTTTTGAGAGGTGACTTTTTCTAATACGGGTTTCTCTTGACACAGCATTCAATCAGAGCACTGGCGCTGCGAGTCCTGAGAGAGATCTTACGGAACCAGCCAGCAAGGTTTAAGAACTATGCGGAGTTGACTATCATGAAAACACTGGAAGCACACAAGGATTCCCACAAGGAGGTGAGTGAGCCTTTCAGTGTTGCTGCTGGGAAAGCAATGTGGACCTGCTGAAGAAATGTAGGACCTGTGAGACTTGACTGGCAAACACATTGACCCATCTTGACAGTAGAACAAATTGATATTAAGACTCCCAAGTATGAAAAGACAGGATTTTTTCATGCTGAAGCAAGGGGGAAAAAGTTGAGACTGACAGAGATGTTTAAGTGGACTTGGAGCTATCTGTAATTGTAGGCAACTGTTTATCAGCTTCCCAGGATTTCCTTGCTTGTTCTGGAAGAGGCTGAGAGCCTATAGTAGAAGAGTTCATGTTTAGTAATTTTGCAGAGGGCGCTGTGCTCCCTCCGTCTGTCTGGGTGAAGATAGGAGATGTACTGGAGAACACAAAACCCATGTTCAAGCAGAATGGTGTGTGGAAACCTAATGGTGAAATTGGGCCACACTGGAGAACTGGGAGCTGGTGAGTAACAGGAGAATATGGACAGAGGTGATGCTGCTGAAAAGAAGCTGGGGCAGAGGAAGAAGCAAAGGGAATGGTGAATTGCATTTTCCTTTTGTGAGGAAATGTAAAACTGAAAGTAATCTTCTGAAGTAAAACAAAGGACATAATGATAACATTTGAAATAGATAAATTCACATTACATTTAAAGCCAGTCTTTGTAGATTGACCTCCAAGTTGGATCATTTAATCTACCTTGTGCATGTTGCAAGTTTTGAACTAAACCTTGGAAAGTGCCACATGGATTTCTCTATATATCTGTGATGGCTTTGTTACTGAAGTCCTTGCTTTGAAATCTGACACTTACTCTTCTATGCAACAGGCTTGTCCTAAACTAGCAATTTTAGGCATCTCTTTCTGGAAAGCTTTGGCCACGAAAAAGATCATTGTATAGATCAGACTGCTTCAGAGCATTGCGTAACTGGCACAAGATTATGAGAGCTGTGCGTAGCAGAAACTGTACTGTTTAAAAGTCAAAACAACAAAACAAAACAAAAAAACACCCCCTCAGGGAAAGAAACTAATAGGCTGGATTTCTCTAAAATGCAAAAGTAGAAAATGCTTAATCCTTTAGTGAATGAGGGCTGCCGTACTCTGCCTACCTTTGTCTCTGTGATTTAGAGCCTTTGCACTCCTGTCAATTTCAGTTCAGAGTAATAAGAAGCAGTTGTAAATTAATTTCCTGATAAAGCAGTCAGACAAAACATTATGTTCTGAAGGAGTGCCTTTTATTGGCAAGTTTTCCTGGTTGCATACTTCTCAGCTCACCTTGACTCAGTGCCCTTTGTATTTTTTTCTGAGAGTCCTCCAAAACTGCCATATCTAGCAGGACCTTTCTATATTGTCTCTGACATTGTTTTTAATGTCCCTCAGAATTCACTGTCCTTATGGGACTCTGGTGGGTTTTATAGAAATCAAGAATGGTGTTGAAAACATGACATTTTATGCCTCTTTATTCCCCGCATGGTGTTCTTCATGCTTGTGGTATGGAAAGGTTCTTCAGGATTTGCATGAGGTGCCTCTTGAGGAAAAGCAGAGAATAAGTCTGCTGCAGAGAAAGGAACGCTCAAGCCAGGAATGAGGAGATGTGAGTTCTGGCACTTCTGTAAAGAAGAATAATGGAGCTGTATTCCTATCAGGAAGTAGCTGTTGTGCTGTACATAGCATGCCTTTGATTTGCAATGCATTTGCATAGCATCTTCATAATTAAAAAATACCATATTTGCAAATGCTGCAATGAGACCTTTGGGTAACAGCTGTCATAGCAGGATGCTGCAGGTATATTCCTGTTTCACTGTCTGCTGCTGAACAGTTGTGTGTGTGCACAGCTGTATTAAGTGGTGGCACTGGTACTGGATTTTTTGTTCCATGTATGTGCTTTTTCTGATCCCTTTGTAATTGGGGCTTTTGGAACCCGTGCAGCCCATGAAAGGTGTCATCTGTCTGTCAGTAGTTTGAGAATATTGGCATTCATGAAGTTAAGAAAGGTTTCCCAACCTGCATTTGGGTACCTACATGAGCTAGGCTAAAGATATACCTGGGAATATGCTTTAGGTCTTTTTACCTGTAGCTGGGGCTTGCTGATTCAGTTATGTCTGTGAAAAATTAACTGAGTCTCCATTTGGGCATGGCTCAGTTGGTCAAACTCATAGCCTTGGGCCAGAAGGTCACAAATTCCCATCCCGTGGTGGCCCTCCAGGTCACTCTCACTGCTGACTTTGCAGCGCTGCTCTCTCCAGGAGGAGTGGAGGAGCTGCCCTTTGACTTGACCCACTGAGCAGGAGATTAAGTGAAGATTCACCAGTTGGTGAATGAAGGCCATTTTCAAAGAATAGCTGAAGAAGGAAAGGGAAGATCTGAGCAGTCTGTTCTACAGTGTTAATCCTTGTGCCAGTGATGCCCTCATAGGATGTCTCTCCAGGGTTTGTTGTGTTTCTGGGCTGCTTCTGCCTTGTAGTAGAAAACAGGAGTGGTCCTGATTTATGGTTTGAGATACTTTGGTGTGCAACAGACTGCGTAAGTTACCAGAAAATGACTGTTTTGAGTAAACTGTATCTGTTTCAGTCTCTTTTTACCTGAGTTCCCTCTTCAGCACAGGGACTGCTAATTGCCTCAAGTTATGGCTCACATTTTCTGCTACACACAATCAATCTAAAGTGACCAAGCAGAGAAGGTTTGAAGAGGAGCACGGTACAGAACTCTTATTCTTGGGGACTGTCTCCAAGAAGTCATCGTACTAAGAGGCAGTGCTGTGGAAATCAAGAAGGTTCATTTGTCAACCCGAATTCTAATATTGTCGCATGGCCAGAAAGGGATCAAATAACAACTTAAAACCAACATATTCATCAACCAGCAAATATCACCCCCTCCTCCAATTGAGTGCTGATATCTAGTTAATGTTTGAAACAAAAAGGGTCTGTGGTTTTATTCCAGATTATATAACTGGAAGTCTCAAAGCCGTGTTAGCCTAGTTAAATATTTTGGGATGCCTGGGTAATTGGCTGTTTCTCCAAGTCCAAGCAGGAGTCTTTAGGCAGTTGGATCTTTGCAATGGCTAGAACTCTTCTGCCTTCTGTTGCTGAAGGCAAGGTCTAGGATCAGCAGAGCGGCGCAGCTACGAGCACCACTTCTCTTCCCAGAGACATGGGAGAGGAGAACTTGGTACATGGAGTTGGATGCTGAGTCACGCCTTGTTGTAAGCACAAATGCAGGAGGCTGGCAAAGCACAGACCTCAATGGGGGTTCAAAATTGATGTAACCCTAGGCTACAGACTAGAAGACTCTGGGTTGGGATGCATGTTTAGTTTGCATTTTTTAACTTCAGCCTGGTTTTAATGCTGTTTGTAGTATAACAGTCTATTCAATGCTGTTGATTTAATGGGGTGATGTGAAGAGTCAAGCCTGGTTCAGTCATAACTGTGAATATTTATGGGGGTTGACATGTAAATGCCTTTCACTTACTTTTGGAGCATTAGAACATAATTGAAGTTGTGGACGGTATTAAATCTTGTTGATTTTTATCACTCTTTGTTTGGAGTTATTTGGAAGAGAACCATTTTTCTGTTGCCAATTAGTTAATATTAACTCATTTGTTCCAGTGTAGTTACTCACCCATAACTAAGAAGAGATGCTGGCTGCTGACCCAATACCATTGATATGACATTGCTTCAGATTCATACTGAATAAAATGAGTTCTTATTATTGAGTATATCAAAACAGAAATAGTTCATTAGCTTGGGAAACGGTTACAAAGTGAAAATCATAGGATAGTTAATTCCCTGCTTCTGCCTCGGCCACTCTGTTTTTCTCTGCAACTAAGCCTGTAAACCTAGCTGATGTGTACTTTCTACGTGTAAGGAAAGGATATTGTGCTATGTCTTAGATATCTAATTTTGGTCTTTCGTTATCCAGAAGGTCCATAAGCACAATTGAGATGCAACATTCTTTGTTGTAAACCTGTAGAAGCGGGTGAAAAAGAAGAAATCACAGCTATCCATTAACTGTTACTATATAGCTGAGGTGCTTTTAGACTGGCCTCTGATGTTTATACGATGATTTGCAGCTGTCCTCTGATGATGGTATGATCTATGTAGGTTTCTGCAAAATGTAGCTTGCTAAAGAAAAGCATTAAATGATCACAGTCTTTAAGGTTGAGAGAGAGATATATATGTAGACCATGCTGGAGGCTGCCAAGTGCTGCAGCTTGGCAGTTGTTAATGTACATGTTTATGTGCTTTTTCTGATTCCTGACATGTTTCAAACATTTAGTGCACAGCAGAAGCAGTTTAATCTACTTCATCTCCTCTGAATCCCTTATAAAAGTCGCATTGTTTTTTCATCTGCTTAGCACTCCTCATTGCTGAGTCCACTTCCTGCTTTGAAACCATGTTCTTAATTGTTCGTTCCTGTCTGGATCAGACTGTAGAGCCTTCAGGGATGGGAGTTTGCCTGGCTAAGTATTGGTAAGCCTCCATCCCCTCCAGCTTAGATCATGCAGGCTTTAAGTAACCACCTCTAGATGGCAAAAAGCGGCTCAAAAACACAGCTGCGTGCCTTGTAAGCCCAAAAGTAAAACCTTGTTCTTCTGCTTAATAAACTTCTCTGGCACTCTGCGTGTTTCACAAGAGCGTACAAAGCCTCTAAGTTTTCAGTGGGATTTTACCTATACTGCCATATCTTCCATGACTTTCTGCAGAGACAGTGCAACTAGCAATAGAGGCAAAGTACTCCAGCTTACGGTCCTACATACAGCTGTGGTCAGGTACTGGTCTGCTGAGATCCCAGCATGTTACACTGGTGCCCTGTGTAGCCTATGAACCTGGTATGTTCTGCCTTAGGAGGACATATGTTTTTCTTTCCTGATTTGCCCGTAGTTTGTGTCACTTCAAAGCAGAAGTGAAACCATCAAAACCCTTTAGAAAGCTGTTGTGTATTGACCGAAAGCAGATTACCGCAGACAAGCTGCTTGCTGCAGCCATCAGGCAGCAAGCAACATGTGTAATGC